GTGTCCTTGCTCCCAAGAGAAAATGCTTAAATACGGCTTCTATTGTGATGCATAAAAAATGGGTGGAACAGAGAGTGAAGGAGACTGTTTAATCGTTTAACTGAATAACGTAACGTTCTAGTCCATTGATTGTCACGATTACTCAAGCTCACACCTCTGAGGTTTCAAGTCTCGGAGGACGTCTCAAGTGCAATGTCACCCCTCTCGGCCCCCCCCCCACCCCCTGAATTCTTTATTGCTGCCGGGGTCGGGAGGAATATTTTTCCCGGCCTACATTCAAACTACGCAGAATGCGCCCCAATTCTCGTCAGATCTCAGAAGCGAAGCAGAGGGACGAGTCTGGCGAGTTACTTGGATGGGTGACCACCGGGGCCTGGAGGGCATTGTTGGACGTGGGTTCTTTTCCGGGGTTCTCTGGCTTTCCTCCCACGCGAAGCCCAAAAACTCCCCATTGGCAGAGTTGGCCTGTCAATGCCCAATGTAGCGGGAGCCCTCCCTTGACAAAGAGAGTCCTGAGGCTTGGCGAGGCTTCTCTTGGGTTAAATAAAGGCCCGCGATTGTTATTCGTGTCGTCGGCACGAGTGCCGTTCGGCGTAGGTTACGGGAGGCAAGCGGCCGCAATTATCGCAGCGCTGTCCACGGTGCCGGAAGTGCCGCTTGAAATTTGTGCCGTTGTCGCGCTGCACGACCCAACCAAGGCTGTGACACGCGGCGAGTTTATTAATTAGATTCGTGACCGATGTTTGTGAAGTGTTCCTTTGTAAATTTGTATCGTATGTCATCGCCGTAACCGGGGAGAAGAGTGAGTGCGCACAATAATGATAATGCTAATGCGATTCATAACAGGCACCGTATGTCAGGGACGTAAATGACCGTGGCCCTTGAGGTGCAGAGCCAAGAGCCAGGCTCAGTGACTAAGGTAGCCGGGTTGCTGAGGTCACAGCGTTGAGCTGGCACTGCTGAGATCCTGGGTTTGAACCCATTAACATCTCGTCACGGTGGCGAGATGTTAACTACCTCGCCTGGGATACAGGAGGTCGTAGGTTCGATACCGACCCTGACGGCTGCTGTATATTTGGAGTTTCTATGTTCTCCCCGTGGTTGCGTGGCTTTTTCTATGGGTCCTCCGGTTTTTCCTTCCACATTTAGAAACATGCATTTTGGATTATTTGGCTGCTATAAATTTCCACATGATAAGCCACTTGGTTGAGCGATCATTTGTGGCCAGGTTTCTTCTGAATAAGAGCTATATACCTAGTAAAATGAAAAGAAATAGTTTATCGGTTTAGTTTAAACTGTGTCATGAATTGATGGTACTTGCCCAGTCACCATTGGCTTTACAAAGAGCATTATATTAAATGTGGTTTTGTGGTAAAATTGTCACCGTTCCAGCCCACCGTTATTAGAAATATTAGTTTTGCTGTCACGTGACGAACACTTCCCTACGTAACAGGGCTGTTCGAAAGTGCCACCCCTAGTGTGCATAAGATGTTGCTTTAGCCGAGGCGGTGGTGGCACACACCTGTACTCTGTGGAGGTGAGGGTTGGTGAATCGTGTGAATGTTTTTAGAGGTGCCATACCCTGGCTCGCCAGAAGGTGGTACAGCAAATGTGGACTCAACCTGTTCCGTCTGTATGGGATAGAGTGTTGCCCCCTCCCTCACTCGTGTGGGTTTTCTTCGGGTGCTCCGGTTTCCTCCAACATGAATTTGGCCAATAACATCTTAATGTATAGAGGACCGCAGGGCTTGGGCAATTGTTGGCGCCGGCTCATCGTATGGCCGCCTTTCTGCTTAACTGTGGTTCCTCGCACCCATGATACATTCTCTGTCATCGAAAGGGAGCAAATACTGTGCGGTGAGTTACAAGTTAAAATTGCTATGAATCATAAAATATTGGAGGGATTTCAGATGTAGTTTTGTGATATCTCATTCCGCGGGGCCGTTCGCAAAGTCGCGGGGGCCGATGCAGCGCTCTCGCGAGATTTGCGAACGGATTCTCAGTCGTCCGGTGGCACGACGCCGAGGGATTGAACGGGGGGGGGGAGAATTTTATATTTTTAAAGAAACGAACGGAGAGATGAGATGAAGCTCAAGAGCGCACGCCGCCACCGTGCATCGACAGGGACAGTGCCCCCCCCTTCCCCCCACAATCCTCTCCCTCCCACACACCACAGTCGGCGGCTGCTGCTGCGGATGAGTGGGGGATTGTACAAATGCTGCCTCGTGTCCGACAGGCGGAATTGATTCGCGCAAACCACCGGGGTTTTGTTGCTCCTGATGCTTGCTGCTGGCCGTTTGTGGTGGTGGTGGTGCTGCCAACACCAGTGACGATTATCTCAATCGGTCCTGGGCCTCTCCTAGGTCGACTCAGCCTCAAATGAGTACAATACCTGGTGTATTGTGTAAACATCGCCATTGGGGAGACAAAGGCGACCGGGCCTGGTGTTGGCCACCCACCTCCTTGTGTGCTGTATCGGCCTTCATAGGTGCTCGCTAACAGCAGTTGCTCCTACAGTCTGTTACGGCTATAATGGGGGGGGGGCGTCTTTGGTGGTGTTGGTTGTGGTGTTGGTTGTGGTGTTGATGGTAGTGGTTGTGGTGTTGATGGTAGTGGTTGGTGGTTGTGTTGATTGTGGAGACTGTTGTGATGGTGGTTGTGGTGTGTTGATGGTGGTTGCGGTGATGGTGGTGTTATTTATTGATGGTGGTGGTGGTGCTGTACGTGACGGTGGTAATGGTGGTATTTCCACCGTGGTCATTCATAGCAAACTCACGGCGCTGCTAACCCGGTGCCTTGAGTTCACCCACGAGCCACAACGTATATGATCATCATCATCACCGTTAGAAACCGGGCCAAAGCCTCCAGTGTCTGAGCTCATCATCAAATGTGCACAGCGTCGGAAACATCGCCACTAGGGAGACAAAGGCGGCCACCCCCCAACCACACGAGTGACCCGGCCTCAACACACGCTCGTCAAGAGCACTTGCCTCTGACCCTTTTATATAACCAAGGGTTTATGCAACCACACGTCGATTAAAACCATGCGTTTATTCAAACCACACGTCTATTCAAACGACGTGTCTCTTGAAACCACAGGTCTATTCGTACTACAAGTCAATTGAAACCTCCGGTCTCTTCAAACCACCTGCCCCTTGAAACCACGCGTCTATTACAACTACTTGTCCATTCGCACCACGTGTCTCTGCAACCACACGTCTATTCAAGCCACGTGTCTCACGAAACCACAGGTTCATTCAAACCACGTGTCTCTTGAAACTTCAGGTCTATGCAAACCACGCGTCTATTAAAACTACTTGTCCATGCAACCACGCGTCGATTCACACCACGTGTCTATTCGTATCACGTGTCTCTGCAACCACACGTATATCCAAACCACGTGTCTCTTTAAACCACAGGTCTATTCAAACGACGCATCTCTGGAAACCACGTGTCAAGTCTAACCACACGTCTATGGAACCACGTATGAGCTGCCACCGGTAGCAGCGTTGACAGTCAAACGCATTGAGCATCAGGGCTTCTTTATTTTCCACGGAGCAAACGGTTTCGCATTTGTGTGTGGATGTGCATGTGTTTGTGTGTGCTTCTGTGCGCGTGTGTGGATGTGTGTGCGAGTGTGTTTGTCTTTGCGCTTGTGTTTGTGCGCGCCTGCTTGTGCGTGTTTGTGTGTACATGCACGTGTGCTTGTGTTTGTGTGTACTTGCGTCGGCGCGGGCGCGTGTGTGCATTTGTTCATGTTTATTTGTATGTGTGCTTCTGAGCATACGTGCGCACGTGTGTGTGCAAATATTTGCCACCAAGAACAATGGGAAATATGTGAATAAGCCCGAGGTTGATTTAGCCTTCACTGAGTACCTGGAGTGGTATATACACACTAGCACTGGGGAGACAAAGGCGTCCAGGCATGGTGTTGGCCACCTACCCCATCATGTGCCATGTCGGCGTTCAAAAGTGCTCACAGTACTTGTATGCGTCTTGGCACACGCCTATTCAATGTATTATGTGAATTACTTTGGCGAACGTGTGTGTGTGTGTGCGCGGGTGTGTGTGGATGTGGCTTCATGCGTACGTGTGTAATTGTGTGTGTATACTTACGTATAGGTTTGCATGAGTGGATGTGTGCGTGTGCGCTTGTGCGTGCATGCGTGTGCTTGTGCGTGCATGCGTGTGCTTGTGCATGCGTGTGCGCTTGTGCATGTGCGTGCGTGTGCTTGTGCATGTGCGTGCGTGTGCATACGTGTGCTTGTGCGTGCATGCGTGTGCTTGTGCGTGCATGCGTGTGCTTGTGCGTGCATGCGTGTGCTTGTGCATGTGCGTGCGTGTGCATGTGCGTGCGTGTGCTTGTGCGTGCGTGCGCACGTTGGTGCGAGTGCACGTGTGCGTTATGTGCGCGTGTGCCTGTGTCCACGATTACTTGTGCGTGCTGCGTCTGCGCGAGCCTAACAACACTTTCCCCAACAGTCTGTTCAGGATATTCGGGTGACCTTCGTCTTTTTGTGTGTGTGGTGGTGTCGCGGTTATCGCGCTGCGCTACGAACCAGGCGACCCGAGTTCGATTTCCCGCTCACGGCCAACACCGGTGACGATTATCTGAAACGGTCCTTGGCCTGCCCTAGGTCGACTCAGCCTCAAATAAGTACCTGGTGCGATGTGTAAACATCGCCACCGGGGAAACAAAGGCGGTCGGGCGTGGTGTTGGCCAAACCACCCCCTCGTGTACCGTGCCGGCCTTCATAGGTGTTCGCTAACAGCACTTGCCCCAACAGTCTGTTCAGGCTATAGGGGGGATCTTTGTATGTATGTATGTGCGTGCGTGCGCGCGCGTGCGTGCGTGCGTGTGCCGGTGCGTGTGCCGTCTGTCCTTCCGCGTGCTGAGCGCAGTGCCTGGTGAGTGGCAGAGAGCACCGGGGTGGAGGTGTTTGAAGTGGCAGGGGAGGGGGGTAGAGGGATAGGAGGGAGGGAGGCACAGACACACACACCTCGTCTCGTGCGACTCCTGCAGGCGGCCGGCACTGGCTGCGCAGGCGGCATGCCGAACCCGCTGTGCGGCCGTGGACTCGCGGCGTCTCCCTCTTCCCGGCTTTGCGTCTCTCTCTCTCTCTGTGTGTCACTTCCTCTGTGTTGTGCGCGTGTCTTTGTATCTTTGCCTTTGTGCTCGCGTCGCTGTCTCTTTGCTGCACTCCTCGCCGCTTTACACCGGTCTCTGCCCGCCTGTCCGTGTCTCGCTCCGTCTTGTCACGCGAGTGTTGTCCCTCTCCTCCTCCTCCTCCGCCTCCTCTCTCTCTCTCTGTGTTGCTCGCCCTCTCCCGCGCTGTCTCCTGCAGTGATTGCTTTACTGAGAGGTTTTTATCGGCCCCGGGTGGTGTTGGCTGTCGTCACCGCCACAGATGCGCCTCCCTCTCTGCCTCGCTCCCTCCCTCTCTCTTCCAATCTCTCCCTCCTCTCTGCCTCACTCCCTCTCTCTCCCCATTTCTCCCTCTCTGCCTCGCTCCCTCCCTCGCTCTCCACGACTCTCCCTCTCTCTCCCAATCTCCCCCTCTCTCTACCTCAATCCTTCTCCCCATTCCTCACACTGCCTCACTCCCTCCCTCGCTTTCCTCGTCTCTCTCTCTCCTAATCTCTCCCTCCCACTCTCTCTCCCTGTCTGCCTCTTTTTTCTTTACGATCAGTGGAAACAAGAAGATGCTCGGTGTAGTCGGCACTTTGCTTCGTTCATCATTTCGTAATTTTTTTTTTACTTTGCTTTATGTAAACCCCCACCTCTCTGCCTCACTCCCTCTCTCTCTCCCCACTGCATCTCTCGTCCCTCTTTCTCCCATATCTCTCCCCTTCCTCACCGTCTCTCCCTCCCCCTTTTATCTCTTTGCTATCCTTCTTCTCTCTCCCCATCTTTCCCCTCTCTGCGTTCCTCACTCCCTCTGGCGACGCGGCGCAGCGGCCGCGCATTCGCCGCTCGTTGCAGAGGTTCACGGTTGAAACCCAAGCGGCCGCCCCCATTAATACTGCGGGTGTAGTGACAGTCGTCCATCCTTTGTGGCGTCCGCTTCACAGTTGATGCCAGTCGCAAGAGTTCGGCCATTGCGTCCCGGCACCAGGGTCCACATTTGCCAAATGGAATATTTCACGGCAAATTTAGATTGTCGACAGCAGTAATCATCGCCCCCTCCTGGCAGACTCATCCCCCAAGGTCACCCTTGCAAGCGAGACTCATTCTGGCCCTGTGAGTTCTGACCTGTACTCCCCCCCCCTCTCTCCCTGATACTCCCCCTCCCTCCCCATCTATCCCTCTTCATATCCCCGTCTCTCCCCACCTTTATCTCTCTCCCCGCTGCTCCCCCTCTCTTCCCCGAGCACTCCCCATCTCTCCCCCTCTGACCATACTTCACCACACCGGTCAGCGCATGTGGGAGGGACATACGTACAGCAATGCACTTCTTCTTCTTGGTTCTTTCGGTAAAGTCACGTAGAATGGAAATAATAAAATAATAAAAATAAAGCATAATAAAATAATTCTCACGACGTTTCGGCCACAACGCAAGTAGCCGTCCTCAGGTGGAGAACAGGTCTGTCGAGGAGACAGAGTCTGTCGAGGACGTGGCCCCACGGCAGCCTGCTATAGCAACCTGTTCGTGCCTGCCTGGCGCTCACCCATCCGAGCACTCGCCAGGCTCTCAACCGCGCTTAGCTTCCAAGATCTGACGGAATCGGGCGCGATCCCGGTGACTCAGTCATGCAAACGTGCCTGCGCGCGATTTAGGCCCGAGGCGCGGATGTCCCCTCGGGGGCCGCTTGGCCTGTTGCGGCCGTGTGCACTGTCTACCTGCTCCTGGCCGCGCGCGCGCCGCGCTCATATGCACCGCGGGTGCCATCGGCATCGGGATCCGAATGTTTATTTACATATGTGAGGCTCCTCGTTCGCAGGTGTCGCGTACGGCCCTCCGTCAGTTCGCCGCTGGCAGACGGACCTCTTATTATACGCTGCTTTTTCGGATCGTGGGGTTTGTTTGGCCATACTTCACCGCGTGTACATAGCACGTGCACATGCATACATAATAAAGATAAAAAGAGATCTCCCGTTTCGCCTGTAACAGACTGTTGGGGAAAGTGGTGTTCGCGAGCACCTATGAAGGCTGGCACGGCACACGAGGGGGTGGGTGGCCAGCACCACGCCCGGCCGCCTTTGTCTCCCCAACGGCAATGATTTTTACACACTGCACCAGGTACTTATTTGAGGCTGAGTCGACCTAGTAGACCCAGGACCGGTTCAGATAACCGTCACTGGTGTTGGCCATGAGCGGGAATCGAACTCGGGTGGCCGGGTTTTCCTAGCGCAGCGGAGTGCTAACCGTTGCACTGCCGCTCCCCAAATACGTCTTTACACACACACGCGCACGCACAATGTCCTCCACCTCGCTAATTCTCATTCATTCTCCCATACGCTTTCGCGTCCACTATCAGTTTTAACAATTTGCCTCCCATCCATCAATTTCTCTCTGTAAACCCCCCCCACTCACCCTTCTTTTCGCCCCTCTCTCTCTATCTGTCCTGCTCTCTCTCTCCTTCCTCTCTTCTCTCTCTGGCTGTGCTTGTGATGTAACGTCGGCCCACGTATCTAGATTGTGCCCCCACCCCCTGTGGTTTCTTCTGACCGAGCGTGTGCGCTTGTGCGTGCGTCTGTGGGGAGCGGGAGGTGTAGCGGTTAGCGCTACGCTGCGCTACGAACCCGGCGGCCAGAGTTGGATTCCCGCTCACGGCCACCACCAGTGACGATTATCTGAATCGGTCCTGGGCCCCCCCCTAGATCGACTCAGCCTCAAATGAGTACCTGGTGCGGTGCGTAAACATCGCTACTAGGGAGACAAAGGCAGCCGGGCGTGGTGCTGGCCACAGTCTGTTAAGGCTATAATACGAGGGATCTTTGTATTCGTATGCGTGAGGTCTTCACATACCACGGCGTCTGCGCTCGGTTATTCCGAGAACGGGGGAAGAGGTTCTTTTTAGTTTAACACTTTCTCTCCCCCCGGCGTGGTGCCGTCGTCGGTATTAGTGCTTCAATAATAATGATGATGTCTCATCGGGCCTGCCAACCTTGCCTGTGTCAAAATCAAAGTGGTTTCCTGCTCAAATAGCCATTGAGGTGGTGCTCATATAACCCTTTCTAGCCCTCGGCCAGTAGTGGAAATTCCCCATTCCTATAGCGGGGGCGAGTCTATCCAAAGGACAACCACTGCTGACCTCCCCACACAAAGCGTTACTCTTTTCGATTTAAAGCTTTCGTGACTGCAGGGATTCATCTTCTTGGTTCTCTCGGTAAAGTCACGTAGAAGGGAAATAATAAAATTATAAAAATAAAACATAATAAAATAATTCTCACGACGTTTCGACCACAACGCAAGTATCCGCCCTCAGGTGAAGACCAGGTCTGACGCTGTCTCCCCGACAGACCTGGTCTTCACCTGAGGACGGCTGCTTGCGTTGTGGTCGAAACGTCGTGAGAATTATTTTATTATGTTTTATTTTTATTATTATATTATTTCCCTTCTACGTGACTTTACCGAAAGAAACAAGAAGAAAAAAGCGTTACTCGTTTTATTGACCTCAAATGGAATGATGATGGGTTGAGTCAACCCCCCTCAACAAGGATTCGAACTTACAATCCTTCTGATTAAGAGCCACTCGCTCTCGGCCTCCCATAGGTCGACTGTTGAACTTTGGTGAGCGCTTGGTGCGGTGTTTAAACACAAGTACTGGGGAGGCAAAGGTGGCTTGGAGGGGCACTGGTTACGCCTCTTCCTTGTGAACTGTGCTGGCCTCACTTGGAGCTCGCAAACAGCATATCTCGGCTATACTGGGCATCTGTGTATGTATTGTATGTGTACGCGTCTGTGTTTGGATCTTTGCGTGTATGTGCACGTCTGTATTTGGATCTGCGTGTGTGTGTGAGCATGTTTGGATCTTGTGTGTGTGTGTTTGGATCTGTGTGTGTGAGAGTGTTTTGATCTGTGTGTGTGTAAGAGTGTTTGGATCTGTGTGTGTGTGTGAGTGTTTTGATCTGTGTGTGTGTGAGCATGTTTGAATCTTGTGTGTGTGTGAAAGAGTGTTTGGATTTGTGTGTGTGCGAGTGTTTTGATCTGTGTGTGTGTGTTGGGATCTGTGTGTGTGTTTGGACCTGCGTGTGTGTATGTGTTTGGATTTGTGTGTGTTTGGATCTGTGTTCGTGTGTTTGGATTTGTGTATGTGTGTGTGTATGTTTTTATCTATGTGTGTGTCTGTGAGTGCACTGTTTTGCCGTGGTTCATGCACTGCACCATGAACCCAGTGACCTGAGTTTGATTTCCAGCCATGCAGAACGTAAATGAACCAGGTCTGGGCCTGTCCTAGGCACAGAATAGACAGATATTTGGGCATTGTGCCGGCTTTAATATGTGCTCGCTAACAGGACTGGCTGCAAACCCGTGAGGCTACACGGGAGATATGTCTTTGCTTGTCAGTTGGTGGTGCAATTCTTTACGGACGAGTCAATGTATTTTGAGATATTGGCAATTGGTGGGGCCAGACGACATGTTTCATGTCATCCCTTGCGTCTGCAACAACTCACGCAAGCACGGATTCTCCATTCAACGCTTAACAGCCCGGCCTGGCCCCAGCAATATCTTCTTTTCAGCCAAAAGCCCCATGAATGATTGCTTGGGGTCGGCAGCGAGGACACGATCCCCACTTGGTTGTCACTCAGCCCTTAGTCTCGCCCACCGGCCATCGCCCACTTAATACCCTTAACAGTAATAAACGTTTGTCTTGAGCGTACGTATTTTCTAATTCACGTGCGCCTTTTTCTGCGTCTCTGATATCCCAGGCCTACATGTTTACATGTTTCTCTGCTCACTTTTGAGCTTTTGTTCCATCTTGTTCGTAAGTCTCAGTGTCATAGTAGTCAGCACACATCGATTCAAAAGTGTAGCCTTTAACCACGCGTCTTTGCGCATGTAGCTGTGCATGCGGGAAATAAAAAGTGTGTTTATTCTGTGAATGTCCCATAAACACGAGCCAGTGCGACCTAAGACACATCCACAGGTTCAAACAAAGGTACCAAAAGATCATCACTCGTCTTGAGTAACTTGAACTCTTTGCCACATCCCCAAGGAGAATGAGTACGCAAAGTTTCACGGACAAATTTCTTGCGCGTGAAATATCAACAATAAAAAATGTGAAGGCGCAGGCCTGCAACTGCTCGCTCACGCCACTGCTGGCGGAATGGGCCTCCACTCGAGGGAGCTCTTTAGGAGGATGCATCCACGTAGGCCAGATGTTCTCAAACAGCTAGCAATAATAATAATAATAATCATTATTCCGACGAATACGTGGCCGGAAATGTCAATGTGTGACAGGCGTAATGAAGCGGAGAGTGTAACGAGCAAGGGTCTTGTTTAGAGCGCGGACG